CCCATTCTGTCCTATCCTTTCTCCTCCAACAGGCTACGCCTGTGGTCATCCCCACTTTTTCACTTATTTTCAGTTTTTCTCCATTTATTGGCTCATCCTCTGCTGTCTACAAACGTTCTCATGTCTCCCTCGTCCTGAAAAAACCCCTTCTTTGATCCTTCCACCACAGTAACCATCATCCTCTATTTTTTCTGCACTTTGTAGCTAAATTCCTTGAAAAGGCCTGCAATAGGTGTCTCTGCTTTCTCTCCTCCAACCTTATCATTCCATGGAAACTTCTCTCTCTAAAGTTACCAGTGATCTCTTAGTTGCCAAATCCAGTGTCCTTTTCTCGGTCCTTATTCTCGTTAACCTCTCTGCAGCCTTTGACAATGTTGTTTACCCTGTCATACTTGATACTGTCTTCTCTCTTGGTTTTTGGGGCAACATTGTCATAGTGTTTCTCCTGTCTATCTGATTGCTCCTTCTTGATCTCCTTTGAATCCTCTTCCAGATCATGCCCTCTTAACTGTTGATGTCCCTGAAGGTTCTATCCTGGGCCCTTTTCTCTCTCAATGCTGTTTCATTTGGTGATCTCATCAACTCTCCTGGATTTAATTACCTTTTCCATGCTGATGATTCTCAAATCTACCTATCCTGCCTCAAACTCTGCTGACCTCTGCCTAGCCTTAGACTGCCTTTTAGACTTCCTTTCAGACTCTTAAACTAAATATGCCCAAAACAGAACTCATTATCTTTCCCCCCAGGACCTCCCCCCTCTTACCTTTCTTGTTATTGAAGAGGGCAACACAAAGCAGTCCCCTCAGCTTCATAACCTAGGAGTCATCTCTACTCCTCACCATCTCTTACCCTTTCCCCCCCATATCTAATCTGTTGCCAAGGCTTGTGGATTTCACCTTTACAGCATCTCTTGGATCTGTCCCTTTCTCTCCTCAGACACTGCCACCACTCTAGTAGAGGCCCTCTTTACTTCATGCCTGGACTATTGCAATAGCCTACTAGTAGGTCTGCCTGCCTCTCGTCTCTCCATACTTCAAATCTGTCTTCTATTCAGCTGCCAAAGTGATTTTCCCAAAGCCCAGGTCTAACCATGTCACCCTGCTCCTCTTCACTAACAAAGACAAACATACAAACAAACAAACAAACTCCATTGGCTCCCTGTCACCTCCAGGATCCAATATAAAATCCACTGGCATTCAAAACCCTCATAACCTAGCTCCGTTCTACCTTTTCCAGCCTTCTTACACCATCCTCCCTGCCATATAGTCTTGTATCTAGTGACACTGGTCGTCTTGCTGTTCCATGAACAAGAGATAGACATTCCATCTCTTAGCTCTGGGCATTTTCTCTGGTTGTTCCCCTTGCTTCAAATGTGTTCTTCAACTCTGCATGTTAACTTCCTTGACTTCCCTTAAGTCACATCAAAAATCCCATCCTTTACTGGAAGCCTTTACCAACCTTCCTTAATTCAATGCCTTTCCTTTGTTAATTATTTCCTATTTGTCTCATATATAGTTTGGCTTTGTGTATGTTTGTTTGCATGTTGTCTCCCTATTCTGCTTCCTTTTGTATCCCCAGCACTTAATCCCAGGCCCTGGCACATAGTAAGCATTCAATTAATATTGACTGATTTGTCCTACGTATTTATAGTAGTTTTCAAACATCTTGAATATTAGACCCCTTATGAAAGATATTTTTAAAAAAAATTTCATTGACATCTGTAATTTTTATAGCACCTAAATTTCCCTTCTATTATGTTACCTCCCTTTTACCCTCCCAAAAAGCCATCTCATAGAACAAAAAATTTTTTCAAAGATGTCTGATGTAAAAATTTTATCACAACTATTTTGTACAGTTTTATTCTCTAGCTAGACTACAAACTGAACTGGGGGGAAGGTCCAGGTCTTATCTAAACAGTTTATTTTCCTCTAATTTGAAACACCATGCTCTCTCTACACACATGAGGAGCTTAAATATTTTGCCTTGTATGACCCATATGTGCTGTCATATAGAATCTATCATTTCCTCCCATTCCAGCCATCAGTCTGCTCTTACCTACTTACTGCCTCCTCTCTCCTTCCCCAGGTTTTCCCCCTTTTTAAAAAATCTTCATGATTCCTCTCAAAGCCACCATTCTGTATCTTTTTGTTTGTTTTGTTATTTTATTTTAAAATTTCTGTTTATTTATTTTCATTCTGTATCTTTATCTCCCTTTCGTCTAGGAAAAAGCTATATTCTTTGCCTCTGCTTTTCTCTTTTCCCACATACTAAACATCTTGTAGTCTAACCTTTGATTCTTACTACTCTACTAAAATTGTTCTCTTCCAGATTAACAATTATCTCTTGACTGCTAAATCTAGCATTTTATCTCAGTCCGCTTTCTTCTTTAGCTCTGCATTTTCTGACACTGTTGACTACATTCTCTACTCCCATCTTGAGACTTCTCTTGGCACCACTTCCTATCTGGCCATTCTTTTTCTCAGTCTCTTTTGCTGGATCCTCATCCTTCTCTTACCTGTGCCCAGAACACTATTCTATGCCTTCCTTTTCAACATTCATTCAGGCTTTAGAGAACATAGTTAAAAACATTCAGTGAAAGGTAAAAAGCCAGATTTTGGCTTGATATGAAGAACTTCTTTAATTAATGGTATCCAAAAATAAGTAGGTAATAATGAATAATAGCATTTATAAAGCAGTTTATATGAATTACCCTGTAAGGTAGGTGCTGTTATTATCCTGATTTTACAGATGAGGAACTGGGCCTGGAGTCGGGAGGACCTGACCTGAGTTCAGATTTGGCCTCACACACTTAGTAGCCATGTGTCACTGGGCAAGTTGCTTTAGCCCTGTTTGCCTCGGCCTCTTAGTCTGTAAAATGATCTGGAGAAGAAAATGGCAAACTACTCCAGTATCTTTGCTGAGAAAACCCAAACGGAGTCATGAAGAGTCAGGCATGACTGAACCGACTTAACAACAACAACACTAGCACTACAGAGGAGGAAATAGGTTGAGAAGGTGAAGTGTTTTGAGGCTGGAGAAGATGGAGGTAGGAGGGATTGGGAAGAGGTTTTGCAAAATAAGTGGCCCTGGAACAGACCCTTGCAAAAAGCTAGTTATTCTGAGAGGTACTGGGGGAAAGGAGTGAGGGAAGGCAGAGAGAAGTGCAGGAACAGGACAGCTGTGTGAAATACAAAAGAGTGGTTGAATGTCAGGCTTGGAAAAGCAGTCGTAGTCCAGTTTGCCTGGAACATAGTAAATATGAAGAAAACATGAAATAAGTCCAGAGAGGTATTAAGCCAATAGCTTTAGTGGGAGTGGGCTGGTGCTCCTCATGCTGATTTCTTCATCTCCACTGGATTCATCAGCTTATCTTCTAAAGAAGTTGTGTCTTCTTTAGGAAATCCTTAATTTCCCGGATTGTAAACTTCTTAAGGACATTTCTAATTGATCTTATTATTCCTGTAGTGCTTTGTTTCTGTGCATCTCTTGTGTGCCTGAGCAGAGGGAGCCACATTTTTCTCAACTATTTCCTTAACATAAATCTTCAGCGTTTACCTGAGTCGTGCCAATACCAGCTGCCAACATGTAGGTTAACAAATCAGATTAATCATGTTAATTTTTTTAATTGTTGCTGTCAGCCTTTTTTTGTGATTTGTAATTATTTTTGAAGAAAAAAGTAGCTAGTGGCAGTAGTTAAATTTATGAGTCAGTAGTACTTTGATTCCCATCAAAGTGGCTATGCTTATACTGTGCTTTTCTTGTTAGTTTCCTGTTCTTAAATCTTTTAGATGCTAATATTTCCAAGTGCAGAATTCTGACGAAATTGGCTAAACTTGGCTGACTAGTCTACTTCCTTATCTGAAGATTTGCAGTGAAATAGCAAAAATGTTCAATTTTGCTTTTGTCCCCTCGGGTTTTTTACCAACTACAAAGTAAAAACCCCACCACATTAAGAAATATACTGTGGGTATAGAACTTTAAGAAAAGTCCTTTGGGTGCCTAATCCTGACACAAAGTTATAATTCTGAATATTGGCTTTTGTGCTGAGCCTGTTTGTCCATGTCCAGTTCAGTAAACAGTTATTAAGTGCTTTCTGTGAGTGGGGCTCTGTAGTTGGGTGTGAGAATACAAAGATAAATCAACTGACCTTACCTTGAAGAGATTTATAATAAAGTGGGAAACAGATTGGAAACAGAAAGTTAACTGCAACCAAGGAGTAGTTATTAGGTTGTTGTGCTCAAGAGGCCTGAATTAGGGTACTAATAAAATTTTAGGAAAAGAAAGTACAGGACTTGGAAACTGGATTGCAGAGGTTGAAATAGAAAAAAATGAGTTTCGAGTTGCTGAGGTAGGGAAGTTAAGAGGGGGTGGTAGGTTTTGGAGAGAAGACATGAGTTCTGTTACAGGCATGTTCAAATTATCAGCAGATCATCCAGGTGGAGAGGTTCCATCGGTAGGCATATTGAAGTTGGAAGAATCATCCACATAAAGAGGGTGATTGAAATCCATAGAATAGAAGTTCCTTGAGAGACAGTGACTCTTTTTTTTTTTGGTGTGTGTGTGTGGTGTTTGTATTCTGAAGGCACTTAATAAATGTGTGTTGAATTAAAGTCATGTGAGTTGATGAGATGTTCTAAGGACAGAAAGAAATTTGGGAGTTGTCTACACTTACGGGGTGGAAAGAGGAAGAGAAACCAGTAAAGGGCATTGGAATAGTAGAAGAAAATCATCAGAAAACAACATCATGGAAACCCAAATAGAAAAAAACTTTGAGGAGATGATTGGTGTTACTTTTGTAGGTTAGAGTTGGTGAGTATGAATCTTTTCTCCTGAGTAACTTGCTTTGTGACTGTTATGATCACATCTTGACACATCAGAGATAACCTATTTTTAAAAATTCATTTTTAGGTAGGTGCAACTTTTCAGCACACAGAAAGGGAGAATAGAGAAGAAATAAACTGATTGTGCTAACTATATATCTTTGTCTTGCTCTATCATAGGTCACTGGTTCTCTGGATTACCAGGAATCTGTAGTTGATATTGAGGCCAGGCTAAGGATGGAAGGTGTGGAACTTAAGGAAGAATGGCAAGATGAAGACTTCCCAATGTAAGGAGCTTCAAGATAAAAAAGGAAATTTTAAACAATTGTTATAACATGACTTCTGGCTTGCAAATTAGCTGAATAATAGATGTTGAATTTCTTTAGGATTTGCAAGGCAGACATCTTGTGACTTTTATTTTTTTAAGGAGGGAAGGGATACTTAATTGATTTTAATAATTGCTTACATCTGCCATCTATAGTTATGGTAGAAACAAGGTGTTAGTGCTTCATAGTTTACAGTGTGCTTTTGCATGCATTATTTGACCTTAGAACAATCCTTTGGTAGATGTTTCAAGTGTTATTATCCCTATTTTATAAATCAGGAAATGACCTCTGAGAAATTATATGCTTAGGGTAAACCAGGACTGGAACTTGGGCATTCTGACTAAATATAGAATTTATTCCACTTTACTGTAGCTGTCTGCTTATTGTAAATAGTTATTTTTATTGGTTAAAAAAAAAGATATTTCATCTCTGCCAAATATGTGATCTATACACAGATTAATTGCTTTCATTTAGCCTCTGAAAATTTCAACTAAGTTATCTTTTCAATTATTGGCTAAGTTTACAATAAAGCTCAATCCACATTATATATGTAGCCTTTACTTAGTTTCACAGTCATTTTTATTTCAATAAGCCACTTTATGTGCTCTCTTGTAATTGAGGAAGGGATAATTATGGTATCTGTGTGTTCTAGACCCTTACCAGAGGATGACAGCATTGAAGCAGATGTATTAGCTGTAGCGGGACCAGAACACCAGCCAGGTAAGGATATCATACTGGGGGTTTATGTGAAATTACCTACTCACCTTATTTTCCCCCAGAGAAAGGGCTCAGTCAGTTCTCACTTCAATCCAGTAAGCATTAGTTAAGTACCTTTTGTTTGATTAGCACAGTACCAGGTCCTGGAGATTCAAAGGCACAGTGAGAAACAGTCTCTGCCTTCAAGGAGCTTCACTAGAGGGAGCCAACATAAAAACAGGTAAGCATATGTGAGATGAGGAAAGGCTGTCTCTACTGGAACAGGTGACATCTGAACCGAGTGAAGAAACTAAGGCTTCTTAGAGGCGGAAAGGAAGAGAGGCCATGGATGACAGCCTGTACAAAAGCGTGAAAGTGGGTTCTGGAATACAGTTCAGGGAAAGAGTTGTTAAGCTAGTACAATGTGGAATGAGAAAAGGGCATTGGGTTTAGAAGTTAACAAACCATTGCCGCACTGGAGAGAGGATCCATATTATGGGTTGAGGCAATGAGTATAGGTTGAGGCAATGAGTATAATTTTTTTGATAGGCTTTGGGCTATGAAGCGGAGGGACAGGGGTGGGGAATGCTTTGTGGGAATGGCAATATTAAATGAAAGGTTCATTTTTAAGATGGGGGAGGGGTGAAACCTGAGAATACTTGGAAGAAGCCAGGAGATGGGGAGAGATTAAAGAGGAGGGGATGATTAAAGAACAAGTTTTTAGATTGAGGGGTGGGGGTGCAGAGATAAAGGGCTCAAATATAGGTTTGGCTTTGGTGAAAAGAGGGTATCAGGGGAGCAATCAGGATCTGGATTGGGGAATATACTTTGAATGTATACCAAAATAGGAGAAGTTGCCGAGTAGCTGCAATAGAGTATGTCAAAGTGTTAGCACAGAGTAGACCCACTCTTAGATGACACCTTGGCAGCAATTTATGTTTTCTCTAAGGAGAATAATTTTCAGACTTGGAAAGGACAGGAGAAAAGTGAATAAAGGTTGTTGATAACTAAGTAAGGAGGATAGAACCTAATTGCCTTTGAGGTTGGGTCCCCTGGGCCAATTGAGCCTACCTCCTTGGAAACTGAAATAACTGTTAGATGAGGTTTCTGAATCATTCCATGAAAGATAATGAAGAATGATAGAGGTACCATAGTATTTTTTGTTGTTGTGATTCAGTCAGCTTTTCATGACTTGAGGATTTCTTGGCAAAGATACTGAGTGCTTCCTTTTCCAGCTCATTTTACAGATGAGGAAACTGAGGCAAACAGTTACGTGATATACTTAGAGAACCCTAGAAAGTCAGGGTTACACAGCTAGTAAGTGTCTGAGGCCAGATGTGAAATCAGAAAGAAAAAACCCAGCTTGGGAACAAAATCTTATTGGCTCTTATATTGACAGAACTAAGGCATCAAGGTAAAGGCTAATCATTCCATAAAAACAGTAATGAAAAACATTTAACAATTTAGAATGCTATAGCTTTCAGTCAACAGTTTTTTTAATGAAGCAATGAGGTATGAACTCATTTTCTCTGTTATGAGCATCTAAGCTAACATTAATGTGTACATTTTCATTTTTTTTTTTGCAGGCCCACTAGAAGTAAATGGAAATAAAGTAAGAAAAAAATTAATGGCTCCAGATATTAGCTTAACACTGGATCGGAGTGATGGTTCCATTTTGTCAGATGATTTGGATGAAAGTGGAGAGATTGACTTGGATGGTTTAGATACTCCATCTGAGAACAGTAATGAGTTTGAATGGGAAGGTAAATATTTTATTTTTTTGTACTTATTATGTATAAATAATGAAGTAATTAAGGTAGTTGGAAGATAAATTTACACACTACATATATTCCCACCATTTTTTGGTTAAGATATATGTTAGTGGGGCAGCTAGGTGGAGCAGTGGATAGAGTACTGGCCCTGGAATGAGGAAGACCTGAGTTCAGATGTGGCCTCAGACACTTGACACTTAACTCGCTGTGTGACCCTGGGCAAATCACTTAACCCCATTGCCTAACCCAAAAAAAAATATATTTTAAAGTTAGTTTTTTCCCTTGAATATACACATCTCTGTACCTATATATTTGATTTACCAAAAGCCCTTTTGGCTTACTGTTTAATAACAGAAAATCTGCTATGGGGCATAAAATATTACGCATTAGAATTTTACTACAGTCGGCCTAGGTGGCTTCATTTTAACTTTCAGAATATTGTGTGAGTTTGTTTTCTCGTGACTAGTCATTTTTAAAGTTAGGAATAGAGTTTGCCCTTTGGGGGAGGTTGGTGTGTTGGAATATTGATTTTTTTTTTCTCCCTGTTTGATCATAATAGGTTAGCCAACTGAGAGGCTTAAAGGTTCATGCTTTAGTGTGGCCAAAATTGCAACCCTCTGAAACAGCGCCATTTGTGTTGATGTCAAAATAGGGACGGCTGTGAAAGAGGCTTTCTTTGGGGAAGACTAGTTTGTTAGATTATTGCCTTGGGGGTCGGGGAGAAAACAACAGTAGACTTCTTGATCCTTTGAATCTTATATTGAATTTCATATAACCAAATAAACTCACTCTATGCTGTTTGATGACTTTTTTTTGTACCAGTTAACTACCATCAGCAACATTCTTATAGAAAAATAAAAATTTTATAAATGCTGTTTTTTGCTGTGTGTGTGTGTGTGTGTGTGTGTGTGTGTGTGTGTGTGTGTGGAGAGAGAGAGAGAGAGAGACACACAGAGAGACAGAGAGACAGAGAAGCAAGCACTCGAGTGAGCAAGCTGGCTATTGTGTAGGAGAAAAAGGATTTTAGATCTTTATGGTAGAGAGAAAAAACACCTATCATGTACTGACAGAAATTCAGTTAAATTTGTGTGGTCTTGAACCTGCTTATTTTTACATTTGCTACTTGGTCCAGGAAGTATTCCCTTTTGCAGTATTTTACAAAGATGCTGAAACAGGTTTCTGCCTATTTGTTTTGTCTTTTCTTCCTTTAATGCTGCTGCATTCATTTCCTGGAAGGATATTTTCCGTTAACAGCTTTGTCTTGGAAACAGACAACTAACATGCAGTAGGTTTTTCCTTTCTACCCTTCCCCTTCTTCCCAGCCCACTCAGTTTTTTCGGTAAGGACTATGATACTAAAATTTTAAAAATCACTACTTTATTAAAAAATCAACCAAAATGTAATCTAGAAACATAAATTTCATTGATTGGTGCTTGTGCTCTGGTTAATGTTAATTTTAAATAGATTTATTTGCATGTATATTTCAGAATATCATTAATGTGTTAATTGCTGCTTCCCCATAAACCTGTGATCAAATGAGAAAATCAAGTTAACCACTTTTTATCTAATGGATTAACATTTGAGGAATGATTTGCATGATCTAAAAAAAAGGAAATTGACTATCAAGTCATTTTGCATAACCTGCAGGAACTGTCAAGGATAATGGGGCATTTTTTCCCCTGTAACTAGAACCTATAAAACTAATGTAGGATCGATACTAGTTTAAAATTTTGGTGGTCATTATAGTTTTCTTTATTCTTACGAAACATGTGGGTGTGCATCAATACTCTGATTAGAGACTACAAAAAAATGATAAAAATACACTTAAGGAATTGACCTGAAAGAAAAACATGAAATCAGATCAAATCAAAGCCCTCCACATTTTAAAAAAATGAGCATATTCTGCAATTGAGTTAAAATTTCTGCAGATTTTATTACAAAGAATTTACCTAGCCAATCCAAATAGATAGTAAAGTGGTTAACCTATAAATTGATTGTTGTTACTGTAAAAATAAAAATTTATGTATCAATAAATTTACTTTGGCAGATGATCTTCCGAAACCCAAAACTACTGAAGTAATTAGAAAAGGATCAATTACTGAGTACACGGCAGCAGAGGAAAAGGAAGATGGACGACGCTGGCGTATGTTCAGAATTGGAGAACAGTGTCACAGGGTTGACATGAAGGCAATTGAACCCTATAAAAAAGTTATCAGTCATGGAGGTAAGGGTTAATAAAGGTTATTAAACATTGATGTATTATCAGAAATTCAAATGTAGAAAGCCTCCTTTTAGTAGTCATATGGTCTCAAAGGAATAATAGATTTTCATATTAAATTAGTATAGAGAACCGAATCTAGTAACATTGAAATCAATTTTTTAAAAATATATTATTTATTTTTAGCTTTTGAGCTTTTGTACCTTTTTTATTCCATTTGGCCAATTCTGCTTTTTAAGGAGTTCTTTCTACGGTGAGTTTTTATCGCCTCTTATACCATTAGGCCCATTCTTTTTTTAAGGTGTTATTTTCTTCAGCATTTTTTTGTGCCTCATTTACCAAGCTGTTAATTCTCTTTTCATAATTTTCTTGCATCACTCTCATTTCTTTTCCTAATTTTTCCTCTACCACTCTTACCTGTTTCTTTAACTCTTCAAAGGAATTCTTGTTGAGTTTATGTTCAGTTAACATTTTTTTTTCCTTTGCAGCTATAGTTGTAGCTGTTTTTACGTTGTTGTATTCTTCTGAGTTTGTGTCTTGGTTTTCTCTGACAGTATAGTAGCTCTTTATGGTCATATCTTTTTTTTGTTGTTTGCTCGTTTTTGTGACTTTGAATTTTTTGTTAAAGTTGGGCTCTGTTTGCCCAGGGGTGAGGAGGCACTGTCTTAAGTTTTAAGCTTTTTCATGCTACTATTTTCAGAGGTAGTTCTGGTAGTCTTTTAAGTTTTCGGTGCTTCCAAGGTGGTGTGATCTGAGGAGAGATGTGATCACTGGTCACCTGGTCTTTACCTAGGAAGGGTTCCTGCTCTCCTGTAGCTACAAGCCTTAGTGCTCCTCTTGACCCCAGAACTGTGCCCAGGGCAGTTGATCCCTTGTGACTGAGCACACAGACTCTCCTTTCTGTTCTAGAACTGCAGCCCAGAACTGCTTATGGGCAATAGAGGTGCCAGTCAGCACCAGCTGTTCCCAGTAACAGTCAAGGGTCCCTTGTAAACTCTTTCATACCCGTTGTCCAACCCTCCACACCCCATCCTTACCTCTTCTGGGCTAAAAACTCTGGAAGCTACTGCAGCCCACCTCCAAAGCTTACCATTTTTGCTATGGCCGTGTGCATTTCAGGCCATCCCCCATTGTGGTATCGCTGACCTCGCCTCCTGACCTCCTGTTATTTTAGGCTGGAAAAATGTCTCTTCCTGACTTTGTTGGCTCTGGCACTCAAATTTGATTCAAGGTGTTATTTTAAAAGTTCTTTGAAGAGGAATGTTGGGAGAGTTCAGCAAGGTTACTCTACTCCATCTTTAATTATGGTTTTTAACTTTTCCTAAAACTCTGGACTTACAACTCAGTTGTTACAGAACAGAAACAAAGTCTATTCAAAATGTTCATTCAGAAATTAATGATTTTAACATTTAGGATATATGGGGCATAGTGTTGAAGGGAATAGGTAAAGAGAAATAAGACATAACACACAGACTGGTCTAGTGGAAGAGACAGATCAGTAACTTACATTCAAGGAAGCACATAGTAAGCACCAGAAAAGTGATATAAATCAGCATAATTTACAGGTATGAGAGCTGGCTTCTCCCTCCATTGAGATAGGATATGTAGAAAAAGCTTCACTGAGAAAGTATCATTTGAGATGTGTTTTGAAGTCTGGTTAAAATTTAGGAAGTGAGGATAAATCAGGATGGTATGAGGAGGAAGGTGTCATAGGCAAAGAAAATAACATTAGCAAAGATGTGGAAATAAGAAAATCCAGATATCAGCAGTCTAGTCTAGTTAGGTTATAGGTAGAAGGGTTTGAGGAGATTGGGCTGGAAAGGCAGTTTAGGGGTGAGACATGTCTTGGGTGCCGAGATGAAGAGTTTGAACTTAGCGTTTAGTGATTATTTTTATGAGAGAATAATCACTTTGGAGGAGGGGAAGCAGTGGTGATTGGCTTCCAAGGAGGGGAACAGATGCTAAGGAAGGCATGTGTTGATTAAAACAACATGTCTGGATGGACATTTCAAAATTTGGGAGGTTTACTGTGTTTTTAAAATTCAGGACTCCTTTTCACTGCATGTAACCCTATCTTTTTGTTGTTATTCCTCTTCCCCTTTCCTCCATTATTTATACTTTTTTTATTTACTTAGTGAGACAATTTTTAGAAACCAAAATTATTTATCCAAGTCCATCTTATTTCTCATGATTAGGTAAGAGTAACACTCAAGATCAATTTCATACTTAGAATCACCCTTTTATTTAGTATAGAGGAAAAGCTGTCTTCCAAAACTATGGACAAGATATTCTGTCCTCAAGCCAGCTGCCTTATTAATGTATTGTTGGACATGAGGGAAAGTGATTGGAAAGTGAATTCAGTTCAGTGAATACTTGGACGTCCACTATATATACGAGACAGCTTGCCCTATGTTGTAGGGAATACAGAGGTGAACGTGACATTGTGAACTCCTTGAGAGCAGAAGTACCTGGCAGGGGAGATAAGACATTTTTACAAATGGAATGAGTGTTATGAGGGAATTCTGAATAAGGGGCTTTAGGAGTAGTGAGAGAGAGAGATCACTTGTGACTGTACAACCTCAGAGATGACTTTAGGAGGGAATTTGAACTTTGAAATATGTATAGGATATCAATATTCTAATGTCATTTTTAGGGAGACTAGGCAAGAGGTGGTGGGGGCAGAGGGAGAGGGCATTCCAGTGACATGAATGACTTAAACAGAAACAAAAGGTGGAAAGGTGAGGAATAGAGTCAGAAAATGTCTAGTTCACCCACTCCTCTGTGTTCTTGCCAAACTAAAGGAAAGTAGCAGGAAGTTCAGGTAGAAAGTATACAGTGGCCTGTCTTAGAAGCCCTTGAATACCAGATTAAGAAGTTTTAGACCTCCTTTCTAGGCAAGAGAAAACAGGTAAAACTTGTTGAACCTAGAGCAATATAGGAAAATGTCTCTTCTAGGAGTTATGTTAAGAGTTTATTACAGTATTTGTGTTAATAAGGGTTTGAACTAGGGTAGTGGTAGTAGGAATGGTAAGGAAAGACATGCGATAAAATATTAAAAGGAAGAATTTAAAAGCTGCTTTTGTCAACTAAATAGAAGATCCAGTGACGTTATAGTTTCAAAACAGAGGGAGACTAATATTAGAAAGCTATTTAGCTAGTCCAAGAATGAGGTAATAATGTTCTGAACTCGGGTGATGGCAGAGTGGAAAGTGGGGACTGGTTAGGTGTGATGAGTCTCTTCCTACCACTGTTCCTTGAACACAGCAGTAAGCCAAACAGATTAAAATATTCCACGAAAAAATTTTCATATTGCAGTCATTTTATTGAATTTGTTCACTGTTTAATGCAACTCCTCTTGCTCTGTAGGCCTCATACATCTCTGAAAACAAATCACTTGAATATGTTTTCAGTCACATTTTTCTGCTTAATTAGATCTTTAAGCAAATGCTAAAAACTGGATAATCTGAATCAGAAAGTTCAGAAATATTAAATGAAACAACTTGTTCATGAAAAGCAAGTTTTAAAACCTGTGTTCTCTCTTTTTTTTTTTTAAAGCTTCTCTTTTAGAAATGGCCTTTTATTTCATTTTTCTTTTCAGAGGAAACAAGAAGAAATTTTAAGGAACATTAATTATAACTACCTGCCTGTTCTGCTTAATCTTTTTGTTTTACTAAAGTTTTAAAAAATTATGGTCAAAGTATACAGAGTTTATTCTGAACATTGAAATTCATTCTAATGCATGTTAAACTATATAAATAAAACTTAAATGACAATTAAACTTTTTTTAGACCTAGGTTCACAATGCCTAGAGTTGACTCCTCCATTATAATCATTTAACTTCTCTGAGCCTTTTTCCTTGTCTGTATAAATGGGGAAAATATTTGCATTGCTTATGTCACAAGATTATTGTAAGGAAGGTATAAAACAGTAAATTGTTGGTTAATTATCTGAATACCAATTCCTGTTATGATTTTTTTTTTTAAACATTAGACTATGAGCTTCTGTAGGGCAGAGACTTTTCTTTGGCCTTTCTTTGTATTCTCATCACTTTAGCACAATGGCTGATACATAGTAGCCACTTTATTAAGTGACTGACATCAAGAATTTGTTTTAGATACAACTAAACATGCATATTTTAGCTTGCTTATTCCCTTTCCCTTAGGAAACCTGGAGAGAGAAGGAGAGAGGTGGACAGGGAGCATCCACTTTCCTCCTTTCTTTGCAGAGGTATAGGATATTGGGTGTGGGGAATGTATCAGATACTGTCAGGTTCATTCAATATGTTAATTTTGTTGAAATGCTTTTCTTTTTAAAAATCCTTTGTTACAAGGGATGGCTTTCTGGGGAAGGGAAAGAAAGGATATATAATTGGAAATTGAGATAATATGAAAACAAAAGTATTAATAAAATATCTTAAAATCAAAATATTAAGCAATCTATAATATACATTTTTCTTTTTCCTATTTCATAAGGCAGTATTTACTTCAAATTCGTTAAAACTTACCTACCCATAGCCAGTCTGTTATGCTACTTGTTGAAATAAGGCTCAGCTCTCTGACAAATTCCAGTACTGTGATAAACTGTGGAAAAGAACTTGGAATTTTCAAATTAATATCCATTTATGAATGTGAAACAGCACGGTAGCGCTTTTGTTTCCCCATGTTATTTCATAGTAGATTTTTAAAAAAAGTTTTATTCTAAGGATTTTTTTTTTAATTAATTCTTTATACTTTTTTGAAAAGAAAATGAAAAGCCTGTCTGTGGTGTTTCTGAAGATGAATAGAATGTTAGTGGAATATTTTTTTTCAATTTCAGGTTATTATGGAGATGGATTAAATGCAATTGTTGTGTTTGCTGTCTGCTTTATGCCTGAAAGTGGTCAACCTAATTATCGCTATTTAATGGACAATCTGTTTAAGTAAGTAATATTTAGGTTCATATAAAAGGTAATCAGATTTTAGCCCTCATTTCCAAAACCTATTAAAGAATGTGGTGATTATAAACAGTATACCCTCCCAATTTTCTTCTTCTTTTAATTTCTTGTTCTATCATGAACAGAAAATTTTTTACACTAACCATAAAAGCATAGAATTTGGGGACTAGAATAAAAATAGCGCCCCCAATTTACGATCAAGGGACCTGGCTCAAGCCCTGGCTGTGCCGCTTACTTCTTTTATGACCTTGGCCAAATAACTTGGTGCCTCTGGGCCTCAATTTCCTATACATTAAGGGGGACTGCATTAGATGATCTTTCAGCTGCTTTTCAGTTCTGAATCTATAGTCGGGTCTAACCTCTTTGTTTTACTTAGGGGAAATTGACTGAAATCAAAATCCTTTCTCATACTCATAGAGCCAGTTAGTGGTATACAATAGGCTAGAGAGATTCCAGCTCTCTAGACTCCTCTTTGAATATGCTCTCCACACGATTAATTTTATTTAAACTACTACCATTTTTCAAAATCAGGTTGTTTTTTTTTTGTCTTTCTAAAAGCATAACTCAAGAAGTAGGAAAGTTCTCCCACAAAGTATATATTTAAAATTTTTTCCTTTGTTTTGGCAGATATGTTATTGGCACTTTGGAGTTATTAGTAGCAGAGAACTACATGATAGTTTATTTAAATGGTGCTACAACACGGAGAAAAATGCCAAGTCTGGGATGGCTCAGGAAATGTTATCAGCAAATTGATAGAAGGTAAGTTAAGCTTCAAAGATACTTTGTATAGCATCTTATTAGTTAAATTTGCTTTTTAAAATACCCCAGGAAGGAACTAAATATATTTGTTTAAAAAAATTGTTATTCACATAGCAGAGTTCTCTTATTTCTCAAAATAATTCACAACATAATGTAGTTGAAAAATGTCAAGTGCAATTCTTTCTAACGAGCTTTTTAAAGTAAAACTTCTCATTTATACTTTCATCAACACCATACACAATTTATACTGGTTTTTTTGTATGGAAGTGGTTAATGCCATGTTGCATTTCCAGTGCTTATACTCTGTCCTCAGAATTGCTTAGTAAATATTCATTATTCACTGTTGAACTATCCTTGAAAATTTTCACATGAGCTCTTAAGTCCTTATCATATTCTTAGAAGGAATTATGCAAAGTGGCATTAAATGCTTTTCACTCAAGTTTTATTTATAATTGTTGCTTATAATGAGGAAAATAGATCTGCTTGTAACATGTTAATTTTGCCAAAATTAACTAATTCCCTTATTTTTCATGTTTTAATTCCCTTAGTTTTAAACTTATCCTATTTGTGACATTTGTAGTCCCCAAAAATTTGGAGGTGGGGGGGATTTGAAAGGTTAACTATACCTTCTCCTGGTATTTACTGATGATTGACATGACCCGAAGTGTGGTTAAGGGTGTATGTATAATTAATACACTCTGGACTCTAAAGAAGCCCGTCTGCGGGCAGCTAGGTGGCACAGTGGTTAGAGCACTGGCTATGGAGTCAGGAAGATCTGAGTTCAAATCCGGCCTGAGACACTTGATCACTTGATACTAGCTGTATGACTCTGGGCAAGTCACTTAACCTCAACTGTTTCGCAAAACAAACAAAGAAGCAGGTCTGTATTGGACATTATCTTGAATCCCTTATTATTTATTTTCTTAACTTTGTAAGAAGACACAATCATATATAAGGCTTAGCAGTCATCTAAACCTACTCACTGCAGATGAGAGACTGAGTTAACTCCAAGGTTGAGTGACTTGCCTAATGTTAGGTAGTTAAGGAGCAAAGCACTGGGATTCAATTTCAAGCCTGTAGTGCATTTTCCTTGACTTTGAAAGCAACAACCCTTAAATAATTTTGAGAAAGGGAAATTTCCTCAATTTGAAATGTTTTAAGCTATAGTCATCATGGGATAGTTTACTGATACTTTTGTTTATTAATACACATTTTAGAATTTTTCTCTAACGTGAATATTTGACATTTCAATTTTTTTTCAGGTTACGGAAAAACCTAAAGTCTTTAATAATAGTTCACCCTTCTTGGTTTATCAGAACACTTCTAGCAATTACACGGCCTTTTATTAGGTAACATTTTGGAAATCACTTTGTTTACCCCTTGTTATCAATTTTTCATTAACCCAAGTGGTCACAATTAATAAATAATTATATTTTTATGTTTTTGTTTTTTCATAGCTCAAAATTCAGCCAGAAAATTAAATACGTCTTTAACCTGGCAGAACTAGCAGAACTTGTCCCCATGGAATATGTTGGCATACCAGAATGCATAAAACAGTATGTTTTCATCTTGCCTTTTTATACTTTGATGTGATGGATAGTAAATATTGCTTCCCCATCAGGTTTGCTGCTCCCCAGACCATTTTTAGTCCCATTTCTCCAGGTCTGTGTGGTGTGATAATATTCCAACAAAAATTGGGTAGAAGGGGAAAAGCCCCTTGGTGGCCTTTTGTTTAGGAAGGAAAGAAGGTTTGGCAGAGGGAGAGCTACATTCTACCCATATCTGCTTAAACAGACAGAGGGCTTCCCTCCATATAGGTTTACTTCCCTGTCTTCCAAACCTTATATTTGACAAGCCAGATGAACAGAAGTCTCTGCCCTCATCCTTTCATTGCTGAAAACACATAATGATCTGGATAGTAGACTTTTGATCCTTGTTCTTTGGCAAATAAATGATGAACTAAGGAGTTTTGAGCAATCTCCAGGCCCTAAAATTAATTTGATCTGCAAATCTATTAAGAACAGTGAGCAGCCATCTTATTAGGGAAGTCTAAATTGATTTGTTAAGTAAACTTTCAGTCTTTTATCATGAATTTATGCCTTTGACCACAAAATTCATTGACTTTTTGTAAAAAGTTTGGCAGAGGACTTGATGACAGCAGGAAAGCAGACAATATTATGCCATAATAGAAAAGTCCTTTTGTTCTCTAGTAATCATTTTTGTTGACCTTTTTTATTATAGGTATTTATCGTTTAAAACATGTTGCATTTTTTAGATGTTTGTTAAACTAATGTAGTATGTAGCTACTAAAGAACCTATGCTTTTGACATCCATATTTCAGAGCTCTTTTAAATTTTGTCTGCAAGCTTTTTTATATCAACATTTATTCTCATAGTCATTTTTTGTTCTCAGTTTTTGTTGGTCCTCATAACTTGTATGTATTCACTGAAATAACTTTTCCCTACCAAGGTATGAAGAAGAAAAGTTTAAAAAGAAACAGAAAAGGTATATGCACACCTTGACTGGGTTGCATCTAGACTAGTCCATTTGCATTGCACACACTAACTCTTTCCTGATTGGTTAGCTTGCAGACAAGGATATAGCATTTGTAAATATAAATATTCCCCAGAAGTTAAATAAACTATCTTTTTTCCATCCTTAACCCTAGGCAGTCTCATGATGCCAAATACGTTGTGATCTTAGAGTTCTTGTGTATCTATGCTGAGAATAACATGGGACTCATCTTGTATTACCAATACATGGTCTTTATATATTTTAGGAACCATGTTTTATATGTAAATTATCACTATTTTGCCAATTAGAAAATTATTAGTTTTGTTTCTTGGGATTGATTTTATTTTGGAAAGCCGTTTGTACAATAACCCCCAAATGTCAGATTGTTTTCAAATAGTATATTCTATAGCTCTGAATTGTACATTAGATGTATTTGTACATTTTCCCCTGGGGTTAGTGATTTATATTTGCAATGTATATTTTCCTTTGCTAACCAATATGTTAAATTCTCTTGTATGCTTAAAATTAAATGGCCTGCTAACCAGTCAAGTAAATCATACATGTGATAAGCTACCTTGAAGTTCAGTAGTCACTGCTTAGCCACTGTACCATTTAACATTCAAAATTCCCGCTTTTCCTTTTAAGTTTGATTCTGCTTTGAGCATAACAGAAACTGTTTTTCTGTCGGTGTTTTGTCATAGGAAAGAAAAGGCACAGACATGAAGTGGTAGGCGTATTTTTGCTGTAACAAACCATAGATAGAGTTCCCAGTCTAAGATTAGTGTGCTGTTATGGTTAAATAAAGAACATTTGAATTAGCCTGGAGTTCTTGTGAGACCCATTTTTATCAGGAAAGTTTGGTGTTTGTATGTGGGTTTTTTTTTTTTTTAATAGTAGTTGAAGGTGTGGAGAAAACAGGTCCTAAACAGTGTGCTTTTAAACAGTTTTAAACTCTTTCTGTCATGGACTTTTTCTAATTTTATACTCTTTTTGGTTCTCTTTCTATGAGTCTGTTTCTTCATGTAATGTAATTTAAAGTTAATGTTTTTTCTGTTACCTAAATTATTGTCTAGTAGTAACTTAAACTAATTTTGTATGCAAAGATAGTATTATAGCCATGTCATCAGTACTGCATATGCTTGGAGTTTTTCCAGTAAAATTTTCCCTTTTTTTTTTTTTGATCTGTCCAAGCTTAAGAGTATAGTTATATTGCTGATATTTATTGATATTACTTCTCACATGGAATTCATATTCCAGTACGTGATATATTACAGCAGTGTTTGGCAATGCTAATACCTAACTTCATAGCAAGGTAGAATTTGGATAATGTAGGAAAAAAGAGCCCATTTTTAACTTTTCTTTCTAAAAATCTTTTTAGAATCTCTGATATAAAGTGCCAAGTATATATGTATAAGTATATAGTAGTATTTTACCATACCTTAAGTTCTGTTGCTCTGATTTTATTCATCTACAGTAGAATAATGACTTCACATTGTTTTTCTAGCTTAAATTTTTTTTGGCAGGACCTAGGCAGTGGGGTTAAGTGACTTGCCCAGGGTCACACAGTGTCAAGTGACTGAGGCCGGATTTGAACTCAGGTGCTCTATCCACTGCCCCACCTAGCTGCTTCCTAAAATTAATTTTTAAAAAAAAATCCATATCAGCCTTGGATTTTTTTTAATAAAGGAGACACTTTTTTTTTAACGACGGGAGCTCTGATAAGTACTTAACATAACAAATTTATTTATTATGTATATGTAAGTACTTATGACATTATTTAAACCTTGGAGTAGCAGAGGCTGAGGGGAAAAATGCTAGAAACCCACCAATGTATTCCATTAGTTCTAGAGTGGTATTTTAGGTAAATGCTAGTGGCACAGTGGATAGAGTGCCACACCTGGCACTCTATCCAGTTCAAATTCAACTTCAGGTACTTAATACCTATGTGACCCTGGGCAAATCACTTAACCTTAGTTTGCCTCAGTTTCCTCATCTGTAAAATAGGGTTAATAATAGCACATGTCTCTCCAGGGTTCTTATGAGGAGCAAATGAGGTAAAATGCTTAGCCCAATGACTAGCACATAAGAGGTGCTATATAAATGTTAGCAATTGTTATTATTAGCTATATTATTAAAATGCCTAGGAAGATAGTGATATATAAAAAGTTTTCTAAGTACCTGAAGTCTGGTTATATTAAAAGGGTATTTTTTTTTTTTACATCAAAGACATTTATAAATGCTAATAGTTTAATTAAACATACTGTGTAGAATGGTTTGATGATGGGCCTTCTACTTCTAATTATATATTATTCCCACTTTGCAAAGTAAAGCCAACATATCACTAAATTAAAACACATTAGATAATAATATAATGTAGCATGAAATATTAATATTCATATATTATTCCCAAACCCTATTATAAACTGTTATAAGGTATTTTAGCAGGAAGTAGCCCTAGTCCTATAGATTGTAATGTAATCGTAGATCCAAGCAGAACATTTTCTGCTGATTTAGCAGTAGGGCTAGCGTTTAAGCCTCTACTCCATGTAGCTGTGCTCTTTGAAGAGGTAGTATGGTGTACGTAGAGTTGCAGGACCTGACTTCTCGTCTTGGCCCTGTACTTGTGTGCAATGGGCCAGATACTTCACTGCCACCATCACACAGTGGAAAGGATATTTGATTTGGAGTCAGAAGCTCGAGGATCTAGTCTTGCCTCTTTTCCTTCACTCTGGGCCTTGTTTTCCTCATTAATTAAATGAGTAGGTTGGACCAGATGGCCTCTGAGGTCTCTTCCTCTTCTCTGTCTTTGATCCTTTAAGAAGGAGGGGGTTTGCTTCCAATTACACATACATGACCCAGGATTCAGCAAGCCATGGTTTCTAATTTTAAGATGCTCATACTGGCTTTGGCTATTTTGCTTTTTAAATAGATAACCCCTAATAACCTTTTTTTTAAAAAGCAGACATGGTTTAAGATGTGTTGTTTCTTTTTCTTTTAACTGGTTTTCGCTTGTTATTTAAATGACTCTCTTGGTTTGGGAGATAGTGTTGTTTGGTAAACTTTGTATTGTAACTGCATCTGTTTCTCTGCAAATTTTTGTTTTTAACAGTATACTCTATATACTAAAATATTCGTTGTAACTCTTAATCTGAACTATTAAAATTAAAACAAAATCATTTGCTTTAGAAAATAACTAATAGGTTTGTCCCTACTAATTTTGTATTTCATTTTTCATTAAGCAGAGTTGACCAGGAATTGAATGGGAAACAAGAAGAACAGAAGAGTGAACAGTAAACTTGGAGTCCAAACAAAAGACCTGAGAATGTGCAGATGGAATGATGTAATGCTCTTTTGCATTATAATGCATTTATTGGCTCTTATTTCTGTGTAACTGTTACAACATTGACTTGATTTTCCTTAATGGACTTTTGTATAAGGGACTGTTCACTGCTGTATTGGTTTGCAAATCTTTTGAATTTAATTCTTTAATAGCTACTTTAATATTATACTATAATCATTTTGTATTTTATATTGCTAAATATAAAAGAACCACACTTTTTTATGAGGCATTTTTTTGCATTTGTTTTATCTAAGTGATGCATGTTCTTCAGTAAACTATTTATATGCGTAAAATGGTAAAGGAAAGAGATAATATATATTTTTATGATTTTTGAACAATATTTTATAATATTGTATACCTGCATTATAGAACAATATGCAGGTGGATAAGGCCATATAAATGACTCTGAAGTCATTATTTTGTAAAATGCATGATGGAATTTTTGTTTTTGTAAAGAGTTAAACACATTTCTTATGATTTTAGAAAATTAGGTTGTTTTTATGTATTGAGGGCTGGTTAGACCAGTTGTCACAACATGAAGACTATTCTTGTTCATGTATTGGATACATGTAGAATATGCCATGACAAAGTTTCCCCCTTTGGTGTACATGTTTTTTCCCCTCATTATGAAAATGCAACTACACAATGTGTTGTACACTTTTTAAACAAGTCAAAAAGCCATTTTGTGAACTGGATAATTTGAAGGGATGAGGAATTGGTAGATATGCTTGCATGCATATATATAGAACCTTTCAACCTCTGGCCACAGAAAAGAACTTTTCACGTCTTAGGATTGTTCGTGAATGTGAAATGAATTGCTTGTCCAGGATAGCATTTTACTGGACTGCTGAGTACTAGATAGCACTGCAGAACATGTGGCAAGTTGTACACTGTCACTCTTTGTTCCATAGAGACCAGAAGCTTACTTTTTTTTAATCTTGTACCATCAAAGTAGGCACTTTAAAAAAAATAGAACTGTTTACTTATGTCATTTTAAAACTAGGTTTTTGACTTCATCCAAGATTTTTTTTCATGCTCAATCATGTTTTACAATATTATAGAAGTTGGCTGTAAACCTAAGTAATATTAAATTGTGTTGTCAATCATTTGATGAAAATGTGTAAACTTCTTGTTAAATTTGGTAAGTACATTTACATATGAGAAATGGTACACACACAACTTGGTAATTAACTAGAAAAACAAAATGCTATTTTGTTGAGGTTGTCTAATGATGAATTTAAAGAAACATCTCCATCACAATAATTCCTAATGTGTCTATGAGTTTTGTACATTTCTCCAACTTTACTGTAAAATCATTTCTTCATAGACTGCCTGGATGGGTTTGAATGGAAGTTTCAGCCTCTCCCAGACTCTGTGTGTGAGGCATTTGTCAGAGACTTCTATAGCAGATATTTCTTTCGCAACAGGCAATTTTTCTTCTCTTCCTTTTTGTTTTTGTTGATCATAAATTCACATGAAAGAGCTAAGAGGAACAATTAGAAAGCAGTCTCTTGAATTACCAGGATTAAATAGCTTAGATTCATGATCATGGGTCATTTCAGTTATTTCAGCGTCTCAAGATCATTGCAATGCTTTAGTATTTATTTTAAGACAGATTCGTAACTCTTAAGGATAGATGTAATTGACCATTTTGGTTTTTTAATGCAGACAAATTAATAGGCTCTTCTCTTTGTGTCACAGTAAGTTGTCTTATTTAGAATTTAACTGCCTCATTCTTTTGTAGTCACCGAGAATGAACTGTTCGTTTTAAAAAATGCATTTGTTTTCCTCCCTATTCTGGACTCCCCAAACGCCCCTCCCCTCTAAAAAAAAAATCAACTGTAGCTATATGTAAATATTTGTTTCTTCATTTTTTACTCAGCATTCCAAGCTGAAAGCAAGTAGTCATTCCAGAAATGACAAGGGGACTTCCCCATAATATAAAAAAATGCTAAATTTCCAAAAAGAAATACACTAGAATTCTGTTACAATGATGTGGGGAAAGAATAATATCAGAGTTTTATTGAAAAAAAGTTACATTGTCTTCATGTACAAGAAATCAAGTTTGACCCAGAGTGTAATTGAATCGGCAGTACAGTGATGTACCTTTTAATGCTATTTTTGTAAGCATTTTTTTATCTCGAGTATGTTAGGGGATTGTAACGATCTATATAAAACAAATTCACTTCTTTTGGTCTTTAGTTCTTAATTTGGGTTGCAGCTGTACATACATGTAGCATTTTAAATTTTGTCATTTAGTCCATACATAGACTTCAGTTCTTAAATAAGAAATGTGAATTAGCCTTTCCATGTTGGACTCATATATTGATTTGGATAGTGTTTTGGTTCTGTTTGTCTTGGTGACTGTAATGTATTCTGTTGGCATCTGTTATTTTGCAAGATTTTAGTATCTGGGCTCAGTGTGTTGATTCCAGCAAAAATTTGCTTATATGAGAAGAGGACTTTGATTCCTTATCCTACAGACTAGTGTCTGTGAAAGAGAAAATTAGTTGAGACAAGCGAAGGAGAAAGAGAATGAACGATTGGTTACCATGAACAATTTACCTCCAGTATTACTCAGTGACCGGTGTTGTGTAGGACCTGCTTATCTGGAAAGTTAATGAGATGCAGATGATATTTATTAACCAAACTCTTTGTTGTGTCCAGCCAGCAACTGCAATCAACCTACAGAACATATGAATAAATCGAGGAGCACAAGCAGTCAGTCATACACACTGAAATAAGAGACGATCAGACGAAGTAGTAACAATGTCAAGAAACCTATTTGGGTTTGTCATTTTCCTTTTAACATTTGTGCTCTAATATACCTGCTGGAGGCAAGTTGGTGCTGGGAAATGAGTGTGTTTCCAATGCTCAGTGAACTCATTCTGATCATCCTGCGTTGGCTTATCAAAATCTGATCCCTTCTAAACTTAGTGCTAATATGTGTAGAAGAACATGGCATAGCTAAGACTGAGTGGCTAGGGGTTTTACTTAATCTCTCACCATACCCTTTTTTTCATGTAATGGATATATTATGCATAATTCCCCACAGTGATAAATCCTAGTCAGAAGTGTATAGGTTATGGCAGACTGAAAAATTCAAATCTGTTTTTCCCCACACAACAATTTGTAAAGTTGATCAAAGCAAAACTTGAAAGAGAACATATTTTAAAAGTAGTTAAAAAGAAGAATATGGTGGTAGTGAATCAACTTCAGCAAAGTAATCAGAACATCCTATTATGTTAAAAGTTTTGAGCAGAAATTCTTTGACAGACCTTAGGGTAGAATACTTGGAAGAAGTATACAAAGTAGCTTCATAGGAAGGCTTGCTGCTGGGAAGGAAACGGGCATCCACAAGGGCTTGGGAGTGGTAGTGACCCTGGCCCTGATGATCCCATTTAGGTCACTGAGAGGAAAGCAGGGAAAATGTCTATATGATTCATTTTTAAGTACTACTAAGTGTTCTGTGTATTTCTTAGGAAGCATTGTCCCAAAAGGGATGCCCTATATTGCCTCACCATTTTCTGTAATTTTAAATTTGGCATGTACCACAGGTATATATGTAGTTCTTCACAGTTTTATCCCTAAGGTTCTTAAATAGTAATAGGAAATATTCCACTTTGTTTAGGAGCAAGTGTGAGTGCAAAGGATTTTAGCATTACAACTATATTCATGCAGTTTTATTTATTATGCAATAGGCTTCCTGCTTAATATACTGCATATGTATTGCACTATATATATATATACACATATATATATATATATATCTTTAAATACTAAAAAAAATTCTTTCAAGTAAGGGATGCTATACCCAATCAAACATAAAATGAAAACTAGGAAAGTTTCAAATTCACAAAATTATATTAGGTGCTTTTAAAAAACAGATAAACTTCTGATTGTATACTGTAAGACATGATTTGGAATTATAGTGCATTTGCATTTGAAGCTATTTTGGCATTTTTCTAATATGCAGATTAATGCATACTTAGAAATACTTCAAAAATACAACTTATTTACTGGCCAAAAAAACACAAATATTTCTTAAGTTTTTTGAGAATGATATCTACATCTTGTACCCCCAATTTTTTTTTTTGTTTCATCTCTTAGATATTTAGTGGTCACATTTGTTTAGAGGAAAATATATTTGCTTATGTAATCTCTTCAGTATTGCTGGTATTCATTTTATGATGTAGCTTGACTCTTAAAGCACTTTGATTTTTTTTTTACTACAAGGTCCAAAAATTTAACATTTAATGCACTGTAATAGCTAACTTACCTAGATGTTGTTCCTTAGTGTAGGGATGAATGTGTAAAAAACGTACTGTCATTGTATAGTATAAGAAATTCAATTTGAGTGTATAATGTTTGTATTAAGAGTAATAGAGGAGTCTTTCAGCCAAGGAAACCTTTTTGGGGTTTTCTTTTGGAATGTCAGGAATATGGTAATTTGTGGTCTGTTGCACTTCATACTATCACAAATTTAATGAACCTTAAATAAATTAATTAGAAAAGTAGTATTATTTGACTCATTTTACCTCATTTGCCTGATCCATTAAGCTAATTAATATATTCTGCATGTCAATTAATCAGTTTTTTCAAATGATCTTAAAACCTTTCTTACATCACATCACTTTCCCTACATCTCACTATTCCTAAGAAAGTTATCCTATTTGCAGAAAGGTAAAGCTCACCTTTTATTTTAAACTTGTTAAAAATCTACTATTAACAAACTTGTATTCTTACAACATGGGATTAGCATACACAACTGAAAACATAACTTACCCTTAAAGATTCTTAAGAATAAGTTATGTTTTCAGAGGTAGTGTGGTTTTTATGTGTTTGTGGTTTGCCCTTTTCTTTCCCATTTGTTCTACACTTAACTCTCCAACTAGCTTAATGTTAAATTGCTGTTGACCTTCATGCTGTTTTTCACCTATTGATCTTCACCATTGTCAGTTAGGGATTGTAATTGTTGCAAATAGATGCCTAGTCCTTTAAGGAGTCACATTTCCTTATTTGTAAAATGTGGGATTTGGAAGTAGCTGTCATTCATCTCTGAAACTCACGATCAGGTGAATAAGGTGTACCACAACTTGCTTGTCTGTTACCACAGCTTCGTGCTGCAACTGTTAGTGCTAGGTTCAGAATTTTAGAATCTTTGATTCCTCTCTTCCTCCATCCCCAATCCCTCTGTTGCCAAGTCTTTTGAATTCTCTCTTCAGTCTCACATCAGTTTTTCTTGTACACCCATTGCCAGCACCATCATTTAGGCTCCTTTATATCTTGCTTTATCGCACCCTTTTATACAATTCTTTACAGGTGTAAAAACATTTAATTTACAACAACATGGGGCAAGTCACTTCTCTGAGACATTTTCTTCCAAAACAGTCACTTGGTTATTATCTCTATCTCACAAAGTTGATTTGAGAGAATAAAATGAAGTGATATATTCAAAACGGGGAACTGGAACTTTGACCCAGGTCTTCTGACTCCCAAATGTGATACTTTCCAGTTGCCACTCTATTACAGAAGGTTTCTGAATGGTCTCCCTGCCCTTATTTTACCTCTATTCCAATCTAATCTTTGTTGTCGGATTAACTTTAGATCCTCAGAGCCTGTTTGAGCTGGAATGGGAACTTTTAGAAAACTAATTTTGACTTCTAATTTTACAAATGAGAAAATTGCCATTGAAGTGTTGTCTAAAGACAGTTAATAGGTAGTGGAGATGAGACTTGTATCCAGGTTTCAAGGCTTAAAATACAATGCTTTTTCATCTCTCTTCATGGACAAACCTAGTTGTAAAATAGGGATGACAATAGCAGCTTCCTCCAACAGTTGATTTCAAGATAAAATGAGGTATTTGTAAAGTGTTAGCTATATTATTTCATTGGCTGAAAGAAACTTTCCTTACATATCTCAGGAATTTATTACTGTCCTAGGCACTCAACATTCTATTGTGGATTGGTTGATAGGGTTTAGAGCTGGACAGGTCCTTTGAAATTGTCTACTATACTGGATATCCAACAGAATCATGCCACTAAACCATGCATAATTCCTGTGGGCCACGTATTGACTTGGAAGACCACACATTTACATGTTTCTTTTATTTAATCTGGTTCAAGCCAATGTGTGGGGATCACGTGTTTGACACCTGATCTAGTATAACCCTTAAGTTTTGCAGAGAAGGAAATGGGTCTAGCAGGGTATAGCAAGGTTGTGTTGAGCTCAAGATAACAGTGATAACAGTCAAGATAGCAGAGCTGGGATTCAAACTTAAGTGTGCTTCCAATGGTTAGAGCAGGTTTTTAAATGCAACCCATCTATTTACAGCTAGTAGAGTCATGTAAGCAGATGAATTCTTCAAGGGAGTAAATGTGTTAGGAAAAGCTGAGCGTGCACAATTATCTCTCCCTGCTAATTTGTAAACTTTGTTAGATCTGTTGAATTGTAGATAGCTTTCTACCTTGTGGCTTCCCCTGTTGGAGTTAGGGTCCCAGTCGTGGTAATGCTTTGGGTAAGCAGTGGTTTAAAACTCCAGTCGCTGCAAAACTTGAAAAGCAATGCAAATATTGTAAGCATTGATTAATGGCAATCTACAGGGATCTCAATGAAGGTATAAAAGGTATTTATTCAATATGCACAGCCATGAAGTTTTTAAAAGATGTGTAATACTCTTCACGATAGAATCAAAATTCAGAAATTTCTACAGGTTAGAATGATATGATGACTAGGTATAAAGGTAAAGTCCTACATCTGAGTTCATAGCATAGAGGATGTGTCAAGAGTACATTTGAAAAAGACCTAGAAGTTTTAGTGGGCTATAAACTCAGTATGAGTCAGAACCGTTAATGGTACCCTTCCCCTAAAAAGAAAATTATTTTAGGCTGTTAGATGTCGTGGTTCAGGAAAAGGGAGGTGAGGGTGCTTTGGAACTGTGGTCAGAGAGTGTATTGTGTTTTGGTCTAGGTATATATCTTAGGAAGGATCTTAATATGCTAAAGCCTGATTAGAAGACATTAAACTGAAGAAGCAAATACTTAAAAGTTGGAGGGGGAGAGAGGATGGAAATAATAGTGGTTTTTAAAAATTTGGTAGAAGGAAGATTTGTTTCACTCAACCTGGAAAGGAAAACTAGAAAAAACTGATGGAAACTACAGAGAAGCAGATTTTGGTTTGCTATTGGAATGGGGATGGAAGTGGAATGGGTTGCCTTGAAAGAGAGAGAGTTTTTGATGACTGGACATCTTACATTGAGGTTGGATGACCATTTTCCAAGAATGCTGTAGATGAGATTCCTACTTGTGTGTGGGTTGAACTGAATTGCTTTTGACGTTCCTTCAAATTTTGAGATTGTATGGTTCTGTCATCTAGCATAGTGTGTTGGCCTAGCAAAGCCAAGGGATTGCAGGTCACACAATAACATGCAGTCCATTTTCCTGAATAGAGCAACTCTCCCAATGGTAAATCTATAGTAGTTCTTAGAGTTTGTTCCTTTTCCCATGCATTTAATTTTCCTGTGGTCAGATTTGCCAGGAGGTAGCCTGAGCAGGCCATTAGCCATAAGAAGCCAGGGAGTTCCCTCATCAGGCTCCTTGGTCATCCTATGATTGAAATAACCCTCCTGCTGATTAGCATTGGAAATTTACCCAAGAACAAATTCATCCCTTCAGTCCATTTCCACAAAGAAGTTTAACCAATAATTATTAGCTTGCCATGTAAAAGCATTCCTTTCCCCCTAGAACTCCACAGAATTTCATAATGAAAAGCGGATATAGGGGAGAAATGAGTCATATTTAAAAGTGCCAATGGAATATCAGAGAGGCGTCATGGTATAATGTAGTAGTAGTAGGGTAGGGTAGATTTAGTAAAATGAGGATTGCCTTTGAATTTTGGCTATGCCAGTTAAGTACTTCTGTTGTTTAGTCATTTCAGTTACGTCCAACTCTTTGTGATTCCATTTGGGGTGGTTTGCCATTTCTTTATCCAGTTCATTTTACAGATGAGGAAACAGACAAATAGGGTTAAGTGACTTGCCCAGGGTCAGACAGCTAGTAAGTGTCTGAGGCTGGATTTGAACTCAGGAATGTCTTCCTGACTCCATGCACTATGGTGCCACCTAGCTACTCATCCTTAAAGTATTAGCATTGGGCAAGTCAAGTCACCTGCTGGGCCTAATTTTGTTACCTGTGTAACTACGGGGCTTAGAGATCTAGTTGGAAAGTCCCTTACAACTCCACATGATGCAAGGAGAGGTGCCCTAAGGACAGCTTTGAATCATGCTAATAGGGTTTAGAGATGGAAGGGATTTTAGAGATCTTTTTGTTCAGCTCTCTCCATTTTATAGGTGAGAATACTGAAGTCCTAAGAGACTGTGACCTGCACAAGGCCACACAGGAAATAGCAGAGCCAGCATTCAAACCTAGATCCTCTTAATTTAAAACCAGTGCTGATCATACTGTTGTGGTCTGGAGAATAGAAAGGACCTCAATACTAGAAAGATTTTTGAATTATCTGCATACAGTTGATAGTTGAATGAATTGTAGTGGGAATGAATGAGATTGTCAAAGGAGGGAGTATAGAGAAGAGGATCCAGCACAGAACCTTGAGGAACAACTAAAAAAAATAATCAGGAGAGTCAAGTCAACAGGCACATATTAAGTATTCACTATGTGTCAGATACTGTGATAAGTTCTGAGGTTAAAAAGAAAAGCAAAAAACAGTCCCAGTTTTCAAGGAGCTCACAGTCTAATGGCGGAAACAATCCAAACAACTGTACCAACAAGATACAAACAGTAACAACTGGATATTACCAGCAAAGGGAAGGCATTAGAATCAAGGGGGATCAGGAAAGGCTTCTTTGCAGAAGGTAGGAAGTAAAGGAAGGCAGATGAGGAGAGGGAGAGTTCCAGGCACAGATGAGGGGTGTTACGAAGGTAAAGTTAACAAGACTTGGCATCAGATTGGATTGCAGGGGGTAGAAGTGGGGTTTTTTGAAAAAGTGAGTAAAGAATGACACCTAGGTTGTGAGCCCAGATGACTGGGAGGATGAACAATAAGGAAGTTTAGAAGAGGAAAGGATTTGGGAGAAAATAACAATTTCTTTTGTTGAGTTTAAGAATGTCAGCTGGACACCCAGTTTGAGATATTCAATAGGCAGCTGGAAAGGGAAGTGAAAGGCCTGGAGAGGTTAGGTTTAGATAACTACATCTGAGAAACATCTGCATAGAGATAATAGAGTCCATGGCAGGGGGTGTATCAGTGGATGGAGTGCTGACCCTGGAGTCAGGAGGGATGAGTGAACTAATTTAAAATTCAGCTTCAGACACTAACTAGTTGTGTGACCCTGAGAAAGTCGCTTAACCTTTGCCTCAGTTTCCTCAGTTCTACAGTGGGGCCTCCCAAGGATGTGATGATCAATTGAAATATTTGTTAAGTGCTTAGCACAGCTCCTATAGTACCATAGGTCCCATACATAATATATACAAGTAGCTGGTATGTAACTTAATAAATGCTT